TTGGAGGATTTTATGGTAGATAATGAACTATGAGTCATGTTATCAGACAAAGAGGATCAATTCATTGTTACCAAAGGGCATGTTCAATAAAAAAGCAAACGCGGCCATTGAAAAAAATTTTAGACTAGTCAATGTGGATCTGAAGAAACTTCAACACAAGGCCAAAGCACTTGGTGATCACCTGGCCCTAACCCAGATGGCAGGGAGAGTAGGAAAAGCGGAGAATGTACATCTGCAAGTGTTTTTCAGCGCCAAAACGCATGCATAAAGAAGAGTGCCCTTATTGAACCATGGTCACAAAAATGGGATTGTGGCAAAGGCAATTGGCCTCCTACCTACAAAAAAAGTTGTCATCATTAAATATCAAGGACCCTTTTAGGGTTTTCGATTCCTTGGAGCTTGTGGAGTACTTTCAGGCAAGGTGCCAATAGATAAGGGACGCTTGCAGTGTCGACATGGAAGAGATTTTTTACTCCTTGCCACACAACAGACTGCTGGAATCAGTGAAAGAGTGCATTGAGGCTAATCGAGAGCTGGCTTTCAGAAGCTCTAGTAGAGTATACCTGGAAAGCTTTTTGGAATTGTTGTTATTCTATCTGCATTCAATGGTAGTTGGGTGGAAGGAAGGGTGCTACTGAAAAAAGTCGGGTGTGTGTATCGGCTCGTGCGTAGCCCCCATCTTAAGTGACATTTACCTAGGTGAAGCGGACTGTGCCACTGAAAGGGAGCAAGGTGGCACAAGTGCTATCAAGATAATCTGCTACGTAGATGACTTTTTGGTGTTTTTCAGAAGATCTGGATTATTGAAAAAGCTGGTCGGGAAAGTTGTGGCGATATTCGAGAAGTGCAGAGAGGCCTTAGGTTTACCTTTGAGGTCCCAAAAAAAGGGGTACTCCAGTACCTGGACCTTTCTTTGTGCCTAGGAGACTCGCATGTCTGCTGGGCCTACCGTCCACGATTCAAGAGAGGCATCCTTGACTGGAGGTCAGCCCACTCAAAAGTCGTTCTACCGTGTCGGAGCTCAGCGCTCAAAAAATCATGCCTCCACACTCTGGGGGACAGCTTCAGGCTACAGACTGACAGACTGAGGAAAGCTGGCTATTGAACGACACTACTTTCAGACGTCACAAGCAAACTGCTGAAGTGAAGGGTAGCCAGTCTACACAACGGGATGTGGAACGCAAGCGACCTGTAGTTATCCCGTACTTACAAAGAATTTCTCAGAATTTGAAAAATGTTGGAAACCAATATGGAATCCCAGTGGTTTTCTCAGCACGTCAAAAAATAAGCCAGATCTGCCCCAGAGTCAATGCGAAGGCAGAGGGAATCGCAAAGAACAAGTGTAGTAAGAAACGCGCCAGGGCATTCATTCCATGTGTCACTGGAGTAGTCTACAGTATCCCCCTCTCGTGTGGCCGCACTTATGTGGGACAAATGGGACACTGCCTAAATGAAAGGCTCCACGAACACCGGTACTCCCTCGGAACAACAGTGGGAGGACACCTATAGGTTCACTGCAAAGAGTGCCTGTACGAGCCGTTTTTTAGTGCCACTACCATCTTGAAACGACACTGGGACAAAGTGATACGCGAGGTGCTGGAGGCCTTCCACACCCAGAGTAGAGGAAAAAAGTATCAGCGCAGTAGCATCAGTGGCGGTGTCTGGCAAGAAGCGTGAATTCCTGAAGTTGACAATGACGGTCCAGCGTGTGCTGTAGTCCGCTACCATAAGTGAAAGGTGCACATGCGATTGCGTGGAGTAACGTGCGCTTTCTTCTTTCTTTTTCCTTTGAGTTAAGAATCTTTAGTTGCGAGTCAGCGCTCTGTCCTGTCTGGTTCGTCTCTTCCTTTTATATCTTTACGCCGTTTCATTCCATAATGTACAAAGAGGCAAACCACAGCAAGCAAGCCCAACCTGATGAAGATCCTGGAGATGAAAAAGAAAATCAGTGCAATGAACTCGGAGAGCAGCGAGTTGGAACTTGTCCAAGATAAGTATAACCATGCAGAGGCGAGTGTCTGTGTTACAAAAGGCAGCTCGCTAACTGAAGCAGCTGAACCTCAACCTACAAGAGATAGTCATAAAGAAAGTGAAATTCCTGAAGTTATGGTGCTATAAACTCTTATGTACTTATGTGAGAACAAAGGACTTATTCACTGTTTGATGCTTTCTGCAGGTGATGAAAGGAACTGTAGGTGTCATGTCGAAGCCCCACCTGACCCGGGTGCTGCCCCTAACCATGGTGCTGCTCAAGTTATGGCCACCCTACCCTGGTTGCTGCTCCTCCCTTGGGTGCAGTCCTTCCTAAGGTGGCTGCTGTCGCCCTGGCAGCTGCACCTGCCCTGGCCGGTGGCCCTCCTCGGCCTTCCGCCTCCTCCTCCCCCAGCTGCCCATGCCCTGGCTGCTGACCTTAAACCTCCAACTCTGTCTGCTTTGCAGAATGCTGAAGTGGCAGAAAATTTTCAAGACATGGTACGTCAGCTGTGACTAATACAAAAAACATGCTAAAATGTAAAGACAATTGCGACATAAATAAAAAATAGTATTCTTTGAGGTGTGCAAGAAAACATCCTTCAGTCTCTAACCTTGTGCTGCTGTAACAGGCAAAATTCCTTTTAGAATATAAACTAAACCCTGGCACAGTGGTTCACAGCCAACAATGTATCGAGGACCCCTCTTTTGGGTTGGCACTTTATTACGAAAGAATAAATGTATGTAAATAATAGTTCAAAGAAAACTTTTTATTGACCCAGACAAGACAAAACACAAAAGTGAGGTGTTTTTTCTCTATATAGAAGTCTTATTGCCAGGCTTTACCGAGTTGGAATTTGAGGACCTGACAAATGACTTCACAGATTGAGATCCACTGCTTTAGCTTACCGGCATATGGAATGTACACAGTAGTGGAGCTCTCTTTTCCGTGATGAGTCTTTTCTACTTACAGTGTAGACCGCATATAACGTATGTCGCGGGATTGGATTGGATTGGGTTTTTATGGCGCAAGGGCTGCTAAGGCCAAAGAGCACCAACGAAGGAAACTATAGCATTGAGGGTAAGCGAGAAGAAAGGACTCTAGTGGTCAGGGTTAAAAGTAAAGGAATGAGACATGAATCGGATAATGTCACACACAAAAATGAACATGAGTGAAAAGCTTTGAAGTTTACAGTCGATGTAGAAGACCAATAGCTTCTAAAAACTTAAAAACCTGCTTGCAAGTTACGAATGGTTCATCACCCAATAACACCATTGGGTGTAACGGAATGTGCTTTCTGTATAATTATGCGAAGTGAGATTGGCGTTCCCGTTCATAGAAAGGGCACTCAATTAAAAAATAGAGAACACTTAGAGGTTTGTCACATTGTTCACACAAAGGGGCATCCTCCCCATGGAGTAGGTAGCCATGAGTCAGATAAGTGTGGCCAATGCGCAAGTGACACAGTACTACTTCATAAAAGCGTTCCTGGTGCCGGGCGCTCGCCCATTCACCCAGGTCTGGCTTAACGAGATGCAGCTTGTTGTAGATCTCCTCATTCCACTCGGCTTGCCATTGTGCTCATATGCGAGACTTTACAAAAGTGGGATAGTCCATGTAAGGGATCCTTTTAATATCTACCTCTCTGCTGACGCATGAGCGGGCAGCACGGTCGGCTGCCTCATTGCCTGGGATACCAACAAAAGACAATGGTGCAATGCTTTCTGGCTGCCACAATAATTTTCTTCTGAACTTCAACAACAAGGGCGTTCCTTGTAGGCAGCAGTGAAGAGATGGCTCGCAAGGCACTAAGAGAGTCAGTGAAAACCACTGCCAGGGGTATCCTGTGACGGGCTATGTGTTCCGTAGCCAACAGGAGGCCATACAGCTCCGCTGTGAGAATGGTAGCAGCAGTATTTATCCGCCTTACAACTTCCACTGAAGAGCCAATGACAGAGCAACCAACAAAGGTCTCAGATATTGTTCCATCTGCATAGAACTTTGTATAATTGTCATACAATTGAGCAAGTTCATGAAATTCTTGCAGAAGCACAGAGCTTGGAGTGCTTTTTTGTTATACTGTGCAAGAGACAGCTTGCAGTGTATGTCAGGGTGCTCCCAAGGTGCTATGATGCCAGGGAATTTGACTACTTGGGGTGCCACATCTAATTTGACAGACTCAGCCAAGGTCTTCAATCGCATACTGAATGGAGGGATCACACTAGGTGAATGCCATTTACAACTCCCTATAATGACGGACTAGAGCGCAGCTCTTGAGGAGGAGGATGGAAGGGTACTCAGGGATAGGATGGCAGGGTACTGAGGGATAGGCGACTCCCTGAGGTCACCTGACCTCAGGGGGGTCACGTGACATCAGGGGGGTCACGTGACATCAGGGGGGTCACATGACCTTGTCAAACTAAAAAATTACACGTGTTCTATTGAAATAAACAACCGATTTTGTAGCGGTTCCAGAAAATATTAAATGGACTAAACTCGCATAAAAGGTTAGAACATGGGGGATGCGGATGAGCGCCTAGTTCAAATCACTGTCGCTGATGACTGCTCAAGAAACTGGAGGATGTGGCCTGCCAAGCTCACTCTTCTTGCATCGCGATTCGTTCCTCGGCGTTTTCATCAGCTAATGCGGCTATCTCATTGGCTGCGGAGCGATAATAAAACCTTCTAGACTTGCAGCACCCTGCGTTTCATAAATTGTCAGTGACTAGGGTTGAAACAACACGGACGACGGGAGCAGGCAACGCGTAACCGCAGCCCAGAGGGAGGAACTCGATACATCTATGTTTGAGAACCTCCCTCTGGTACACGATGCAACCGAGCTGAGCCCGGCGCTGTCCAGAGACAACAAAGTTAGTCTCTGGACCGAGCTAACCTCCCGGCTCAACTTCCTCGGGCCACTGAGGAAGGAGTCGGAAGGTTGGAAACGTTACTGGGCCGTGCAGGGGTCAAAGGAGCGGGCGCGGGCAGCCGAAACAGGCGAGGTAATTTGCATCGTCTACTCATAGTGTGGACCAAGCTATTCAATTACTTCCTTTACTCGCAGGCAAACGGGGCGGAGGCGGCCGAGTGTGCTCACTGGCGTCATCATAAGCACGTATTTTGATGCCGGTGGGCGAGGACTCGGCCCTGGGCGCTCCCGGGATTTCCGTCTCGGCTTTTGAGGACGAGGCCGAGGCGAGTGCACACTTGAACATAACATACTATTGCACATGTAGCTGTTCAATCCCACCCAATAGGAAGGAAAATATCCGTGCAGGGTTTTATTATCAGTGAGCTATGGTGTATAACGCAATGAAATGTGATAAATATGAACGTGAACATATGCACTAAAGGTGCTGGCACTTTTTATAATTGAGCAAATCAGAGGGTGGATTAATTCGTCCACGTAAAGGCAAAATCTAAAACAAAAGCATGTACGAGAAAACCGTATGTATTGCAATAATACTGGAGTTTCCAAGGCTAAAACAAGTGTAGTTTGTGTGTAGTCCTTTTTCTTGTTGTTTTTGTGGTTGTTGCAACCCTCAGTTGTATTGTGTGCACGCTGTCGTAAGGTTCCATTTCTGTATCACAGAGGTACAGTTTCGCAAAAACGGGAAGTGCAACCTTTCGAGCTGCCATTAGACATACTTGGGAAGTCAATCCTTGACATGAATGGCACTACCTCTGAAACAGTCTAATTTTGTTTCCCCTGAGTGGAATGCAGCCTCATCAAACCCACTCTCAATATCTAGAAAATGCAGGCAAGTCCTGTGTGCTGTTTAGAACTTATAAATTCCCTTCTAGGGGAGATCCGCAGGTGCCCAGGCAGGTCATGGGCAGCAGGCAGCCGAGCCGGTGCCCTCCACCTCATGGGGTGAGATCTCTTATGAGGACAACTAGGATTGTGTGATATGACAGAAGCATTCTTTGTTTCATGGCAGATGTCAGGCCACCTGCAAGGCCCCAGGTGCGATCCAAGGCGCCTCGTGTCGCCCCTCGAATGTCGAGGCAGGAGCGCCACAACGAGGCTGCCATGCAGGCTGTTGCCAACCAGACTCTCCAGCTGCAGCAGAACGAGACGAGGGACGCGCGGGACGTGGAGTTCCACGGCCAGGTATTGGCTCAAACATAGAACTCTGTAACATGACTAAGTAGGTATGAGTTTAATAAAGATGCCACTGTGAAAATGGACTGCAGCAGAGGGCAATGGAGATCCACAAAAGCATAATGCGAACCGAACTGTGACATATGCAAGGTTTTCACGCCCTCTGGGTGTCTAGAAATATGTTATTGCTGTGCATTAAATTCCCCGTCTTTCCAGCTCCTGCGTTCCATCGAGACCCTCAGCCACTGCATGAAGGCTGTTGCAGAGGCGAACCAGGAGCAAGCTTGCACCACACAGGTCGTGGCCCTGGTGAAACTCCAAAACACAACCCGCGTGCTCGTCGAGGTCGTTCTGCTGCTGACTGCCGAGAGAAGCCGAGCCCAGCAAAGCCAAGATCTGTCGAGCCCTGCCCAGCCATCCCTCCAGCCCCGCCTAGTCCAGCCCCGCCGAGCCCAGCCCCGCCGAGCCCAGCCAAGCCGAGCCGAGCCAAGCCGAGCCGAGCCGAGCCCAGTCGCGCCCAGCACCGCCGAGCCGAGCCCAGTCGCACCCAGCACCGCCGGATCCAGCACCGCCGGGTCCAGCACCGCCGGGTCCAGCACCGCCGGGTCCAGCACCGCCGGGTCCAGCACCGCCGGGTCCAGCACCGCCGGGTCCAGCACCGCCGGGTCCAGCACCGCCGGGTCCAGCACCGCCGGGTCCAGCACCGCCGGGTCCAGCACCGCCGGGTCCAGCACCGCCGGGTCCAACACCGCCGGGTCCAACACCGCCGGGTCCAACACCGCCGAGCCCAGCACCGCCGAGCCCAGCACCGCCGAGCCCAGCACCGCCGAGCCCAGCACCGCCGAGCCGAGTCCAGCCACGAATAATTTAGTTTAAAAAGACAATTATTTCATGTGCCAAGTCCGTATTCATTTCTTTGTTTTTGTTTTGTTCTCCAGAAAGAAATACGTTCTTTTGTGCCACTAGTATGTGGTGCATGTTAATGAACAAGTTCTTACGCACTGGGCTTGCCATACAGTGAATAATACTATGAATGAGCCACTGCTTAAAGGAAGGCTGATGTCCTGCTGTCTAAACATCTTTACAACAATGCTGACGTAACAGGAAAGTTTGTCCATGCGTTTCAGTGCATATTTTGTTTACAAAGAACTGTGCCTTCTGCGTTTGTTTATTGGAGTCATTATAACCAGTGAAGCAAGTTAGTAATATGCTCTTGGCAACAGGCATGACAGATATATGCTAAAACTAGCAAATCCTCATGTTTGTAGTAATGTAGAGCTATTTTTTTTCTATGGGAGCATGTGCCCATCATGGGATAAAAGTTTCGTCTAGACATCAGCCTGTGTTTTTCATGTATGACAAGCCAGCGTGATTAACACGTACGACTGAAAAAGCAGAAGACGTAGGAATGTCATAAGATTATAGCAACTACAACAGAGATGCCTAACCGAAATATGTGCTTTTTAAGAGGGTGGTTAACAAAATCCACATAAACAGCTCAAAACATGACAGATACCGAGGCTTAAAGCAAATGTGGCATGGTATAAAGTTACGCCTAGACATCAACTACAACAGAGATGTCTAACTGAAATATGTGATAATGTAGTGATTGTGGAGGCGAGCTGGTGGATGTTAACCATTTTGTTCTTAGCCCGAGACTGAGGCAGGAAAAGAGGAAAGTTTCAAAGTAGAAGAAAAATGAACAGTCGAAGACACGTCTCCATATGGATGTTAACCATTTTGTTCTTAGCCCGAGACTGAGGCAGGAAAAGAGGAAAGTTCCAAAGTAGAAGAAAAATGAACAGTCGAAGACACGTCTTATAGAGACGTGTCTTCGACTGTTCATTTTTCTTCCGACGTGTCTTCGACTGTTCATTTTTCTTCTACTTTGAAACTTTCCTCTTTTCCTGCCCCAGTCTCGGGCTAAGAACAAAATGGTGAAATATGTGCTTTCGAAGGGGGTGGCTAACAAAATCAACATATGCAGCTTCGTAAACGAGAGATATAGAATGTTAAAGCGAATGAGGCATAGGATAAAGTTATGTCTAGACATCACATCGACTACTAAAATCCGGATTTCCTGTGGAACGTCTCATATCCAGTTTTCACCAGCTCATCACCCCAAAACTACCAGAAACCCGCATTTCACATGAAGAAGGATCACCTGCATTCCTCACATCCACTACGCATCCCACTGCATCAGGCCTATCGCCTCCCGCTTTGACAAGAGAGTTTCTTTCCTGCCAGTGTCAATTGGCAAGCATATCCAACATGACCAACTGGAAAGAGACCAAGCTGCCATGCGAGAAGCACGCCACACAATTCTGGCCCTGCGGCAGAAAAAGGTGCACTCTGCAAACCTCACGTGCGAAGCTGAATACTTGAGACAAACAAGCAGCTGCGTAAATGACCTACCTTGAGGACCTCAAAACAAGACCACATCAAGAGCAGAGCACCCAATTAATCCAACTGCGGTTCATGCAAAGGAGCGCTTCGGATACGCACCTGACTCCACCGGCACAACGATAAAGGGGAAACACCAAAACCGCTATGGACACTAAATCGAGTAGAACAGCTTGGAAGCTCCTGGAAGAGGCAACAGGGGGTGCTGCTGTGGTGCCTGTGAGTAGAGTGAAGGGCATCTGCCTTGCAATGACCCTTCCTCGATTTGACGTGGTGGATGGTTTCATTCCAGACTACCAGCACAGTGCTTCCTTGGCAAAATCCAACAGTTGCTTAAGCTGTGGCTTGAAAGCGAGTATCATGACTGTCCCTGGTACATTGAAGAAAGGTGTCACTGCTAGAGCCTCGTACTAGCAGCCTCTCTTCCGAGAAAGATTACATACACCCCAAGGAAGTTTGAGGATAGGGCCTATCGGAAGGCATCAGAGTTGCGAGCCCTTTTGCTTTTTTATGGGCATATTGTGCTGAAGCCCGTCTTGCCGCGCCAGTTCTTTAAGCACTTTACACTTCTGTTTTAGAATGTGTACCTGCTGCTCAAAGATGAAATCACGGAGTAAGACCTTTTTGAGGCATGGGGCCTTCTGGACAAACTTACGTTGGAGATGAGTGCATTGTATGGCATGACAAACGTGTCATATAACGTTCACCAGCTGCTTCACTTAAGGGACTCTGTGGAAGCCTGGGGCCCGCTGTGGGTGACCTCTTATTTTTTATTTGAGGGGCGGAATGCTGTTCTGCTTAACTACTTCGCTGGGACGCAGTGCGTCGGTGAGCAGATTGCCCAAACATTTGTATTGAGGAAGCAGCTTTCTCCCTGGGCAGACAGAACTGAGGCACTAGAAGGAAGGTTATTCTTTGAAAGGATGGTTGGCAGGCAGGCTATGTATGGGTAGGACTGGGGTGATGCTCCCTGGGGATGTAGTTGTGTACCGGTGACAAAGTTGATTTGGCATTGATATCAGGCTGGAAGTGGCATCCAAATACCACCTGGGATTCCTACCTCGGCACATTACTTACTACAACAGGTTCCCGTGTAATGGGATTATCTGGCATTCAGAGGCATACAGCATGCCAAAGAGGGTCAACTGTGTTGCTCAACTGCAGGATGGTTCAGTTGGCATCATACAAGCGCTTGCCGTGTTTGATGGGAGTCCTACACAACTGCATCTCCTCTACCTGGTGTTCACTGAGAAGCTTCAGCTGGTGAAGAATGTTCCCTTCATGGATGCTCAGCTTGGGGTCAGAGCATGTTTCGGCTGCCGCAGATCAGCTTTCTTTGTCAAGATCTACAAGCGCCATGATGGCATCCGATGCGGCTCCGTATTCTGAGCGCATAGCTGCCCCGGTGAATCTTTGTTTAAGATATATCCAAAATGCCAAAGAGATAAACCTTGATACACTGACTACTTTTGCCACTGTGAGTGCAATCTACTTGAAAAGCCTAAAGAAAAAAGCCGAGAGGCATTCACTTGCTTCTACAATGGAGGAAGAAAGACGGTGAGTACTCTATCCTCGTGAGGCAAATGTTCAAAGATCCCAGCGGCCAGGACTTCTTTGACACCTTCTGGATGACCAGAACCAGGTAAGTAGCACTTTTCTTAATAATTTCAAACCTCATCCAAAACCCTGTTTCATTGTAAGTGTGAGTGTAACAGAGGCTATGAGAGCAAGCTTCGGGCTCTCGCATACCTTCCGAGTATGCACCCTCATTCTTGGAATCACCTCCGTCACGGCAACATGCTTGTGCTTCGGAAGAGAACCGAGTTTTACGGCCAGGTATAAATAAACTATGCATTGCAGAGAGGTCATACTCCGTGTTAATGTAATGCTAGCAGTTGGAATAGAACGCAAAAATCAGAAGATAATCGAGAATTTGTTTATGAATTTTTTGAGAATTTTTTTATGAACCGACATTTATCGTCCAAACAAGAGCTCACATTGTGAATGCTTGCGGTACGTCAGTATAACCCCCCATCAGCCGCCCGGTTATACGTAATAATGAGTGCAATCTAGCATCGTGATATTCTATTAATAACCTAAAAAAAGGGCAATTTGTACTAAACCATGTTTTCTCTGCACAAAGCAAAAATTGTATAGTCAGTACTGCAACCTCTCTTTCAAGTCAAGGCGCACTTTCGCAAATGACTAGTGAGAGTTCTGGTTCCACCTGAAGACATGACTGCTTTTTCATCTTGATTGTTGCTAAGGCTGCAAGACAACATACATTTTCGATCAACCTTGTTCATTAGGCGTCCGAGTTTAGAAAGAATAGCACAGTAGCCTTTGCCCCAGGTACTACAATGCGATCAGACAAAAAAATGTGTATTCTTATCCATACATTTTCACTCAAGGTACACAAATTTTGCTCCAATATTTGGGATAACCATGTCCTGTGAAGTTTTCGGAACAGGATTGTTATAACTGGTTAAGTAGTTCAGTACTCAGTATTTTTGCACTGTCTTTTTAGGCTTTAGATACCTGGCTTATAGCTCGTCTTAACTGTCGGTGGGCCCCAATGAGTTACTGCCACAGTACTTCATGAGCAAGCCAGAATGAGCAGACAAGTGAGGCACTGCAAAAGGTCCTAGAGCCTCTGTACATGCCTAACCCAATTCAAGAGATGTGGGAAAAAATTGCACAAGATTTTAGTGAGCACCGGAACTTCCCACTCTGTGGGTGCGATCAACGGGAAACACATTGCAGTGGAGGGGCATGTATCAACAACCTTAAACTACAAAAACAAATTGCACATCATCATCCTATCAGCAGTAGTTGACGCAAGTTACAAATTTGTGATGGTCGACACTGGTGAATATGGTAGCTGGAACGACACTGGAGCGTTCAGAGAGTGCTCCTTCGGCCACAAAATGATGTTGGGGACTCTCCAGCTCCCTCGTCAAAAAGCACTCCCTTTCGTCATGCTGGCAGAATGCCCATTCTTCTAGCTGGAGATGAGGCATTTAACCTTATGAAAAACCTCATTGGCCTTTTCCTGGAGAAGCTCTAGACCTGCCAAGACACTGCTTCAACTACACACTGTTCAGGGCTTGATGCATCTCTGAAAACGCGCTTGTCATCCTAGCTGCTCGGTGGACGTTCTTTCGACAAGCAATCCAAGGAGCCTCAACCATGGTGGAGTCTGTTTGGGCGTTTTGCTTCACCTACATGACGACATACAATGACGAGGAAAGCGTACCTTCGACGAGTTCCTATGGGCCTCCTGCAAAAGTTACTCTAATGATGCACAAAATGCAAGCAGGCAGAAGTGTGCTGGTCGAGAAAATGCCAGCTTCAGCTTCCGGAATCTAGAACCGATCACCAGTGACAATCAGTCCCTTCCAGGTCAAAACATACAACCGGCTTCTGCAAATTATTTCTGCGTGGCCGTAGGAGAAGTGCCATGGCAATATGAT